TGATAAGCATATGAAATTGCTAAAAAAATGGCTTCACATTACAAAAAAATGTATTTGACCAATAATGGGTTAAATAGTTTTTTTATGAAATAGTACCTTTGAATTGACCTGTCTTAAAGCTCTATAGTGCAAGATGTATTGTAAACTTTCAAATCACACCCACAAGCAGCATGTTTCATAAAAAGAACATTCTAGATGAGTAGATTAGAATTATGTCCCCCCCAAAATCTACTATCTTATTGATTTGTAGTTGTCGGGAAGATACATTTCACTTATCACAGGAATGAATGACTGTCTAGACCAGGAATTCTTAACCCAGACCGTCTGGCTGTCATAAGACTACCAGGTGGCAGTGACAAATTTGGAAACACAGATTGACCATTTATTTAGACCAAAAGCAGGCCCATAATTCCCATTGAAACAAATAACTTTTTGTTGATTAAAATTGTTCTTCATTTTAAATATTGCTTTTTTCCCCAGTTTTTTTTGTTGTTTTTTTACGCTACAGATAAAAATCAGCAATGTTCATGGGAATTAGTTCATAATTTTTCTAACTATAGGCCGGCCCCCAAAAGCATCAGAAGGACAGTGAACCGGCTAACTCATTAAAAGTTTGAAGAGCCCTGGTATAATAAGTTCATACTCAATAAGCGTACGATTAAAGGCATGTTTAGGAAAGGCAAAGGTTAGGGTGGTTTATGACAACTGATAGCAATCCAGCTGTACGTTACAAAAATGCTTTGTGAGACACTGTAAAGGTAGAGATAAAAAACAGGCCAGATGAAGCAGCTGTAATCAATCAATAAATGGTCCAAGAATATCTTGGGGGATGAAGATATATGAGCATGGACATCTGCTACTAAAATAGGAGTATCAGCTCTAAGGAAAGACGAATGTTGAATAGGCACCATGAACTGTAAATCTCTGCAGACCAAACTATTCATGATGTCATTCAGATGGTGCTCTTTGGTAAAGAAGCCTAAGTAGAGAAAACATCTGATTCATTGATTTGACCCAATTTAAAAAATAAAAGTAACAAGCAATCGTAAATTTATGTCACAGATATATGTCAAAGATGACAACAACTGGTGCAGTAATATCATAGATGTTGATGACTGGTGCATTTATATCATAATGTTATGTCATAGATGTTGACGACTGGTGCTGATGTTCAAATAACACATATCCTTTTATCCCTGAATTAGATTAAGTAAAAAATCAAAAAGGAAATATATGGATATATTTAGGCATACGCTTGAATTGCGGACAGGATGTTTTAACTTTTTAACATTTAGCAGTGGAAAACATTATTGCTGCAGAGGTGGAAGGTTGGGGTGTTATGCAATTGCTGAACCCCGAGCACTTTACAATTTTTATAACAAAATATTTGTCCTGTACAAGAAATTTTTATAAAAAGCCAGTTGAAAAATCCATAAACAGTGGGCAGAGAGTCTTTTTCTGTTTCCCATGCTTGACTTTGAGTTTCTTGATTATTTTTCCTCACTGGAAACACAGTGGTATCTTTTCTTAGGGGTTATGATGGTATATATTAAGAACCACATATTCGGAAGAATTATCAAAATGCAGCTTATCTGATTATTATTAAGTAAGCCCCATTATTTTGAGATCGAATGTCAAAAAAATTATTTGAAATAAATCAATAAATGAGTTATTAAATACCGATGTGACCTGGATGTTGATGACATTATTAAGAAGACCACCTCAATAAAGGATGAGGTCACCAAAGAGTTAAGTACCCTGCAAATGTTGCAGTGACTGACAAAAGATGGCTGGAGTTATGTTTTTTTTTTACTACAATTCATTAATTGGTTGTTTTTTAATTAAACAATGATGGCAGTTGAATATTAAAATGCCAATGAAATAGTGAGATCTGATTTTTTTAACGTAGAAATGTAAAATACAAATTTAATAAATTTGAATTTAAAATGCTTAAATATTAATTTATCATAATAAGCTGAAAAGGCCATATTTAAAAAAAAAATCTTTAAAAAAAAAATAGGAACTTAATTGAAACTAACTATACTATCTCTTCGTCTCGCAGACCCCATTGATGTAAAAGATACGAGTGCAGGGTCCCAGGTGTCAATAAAATGTTTCAAACTATATATAATATTGGGTGACACATTGTAGATCACAGATGTTGAGGGCCTTAGAAACTCAAACTGTAGGAGTGTACTCAAAGTAATCATCAATAATGACCAAGTTACTTTTACAGAAGTCAAATGTTTTTTATGATAATGTTAGTTTTTTCAGTACATTTTTGCAATCCACGCCACTTATTTTCCACAGCTGCCATGGCAACATGTGTCATGGCAACCAAAATGTCAGCAGTGTAAAAATAAAAAATTCATGCAACATATGTTTGCTAAAATGGGGAGGGGAAAAAGAGAATGTGATGTTTTACCTACTTACCTTGAGAAATGAAAATATAAGCAATACATTAAAATTGAATGGTGGCCCCCCTTTCGTGGCGTAATTTCAGCTGGTACATTCATTACTCCCTTCCCTCAATTAAAACAAGTGTGCTACAGTTACACACTGTGATAAGTAAGTGTAAAAATTAAGAAAAACAATTTATAATATTCTTAAAATAATAAAAACCCAACTTACAGTTTCATAGAATACACTTCTACACACTTAAGTGAAGGTTCCACCATTTCAGCCATTTCGTGGTGAACATAGCAACTTTGTGTTCCTCTAGATATGCAGCAAGAAGTGTCAAGCACCTTCAGTTGATCCCTTCCCTCAACTAAAATGTGTGCTAAAAATTTAGCCTCTTTTTAAATCTTATAATTAACCACGCCGTCAACGCAATAAAATTTTCCTTTGAAACATTCCATTGTTTGGTGTACTAATATTTAAAAATGAGAAGTAAACTGTAGTAACAATCCTAGATTAAACAAAAGGAAGAGAATCCCACACCGAATCTCAAAGTGACGAGGATTGCGTAAATTGACTATTCAAGTCTATTCACATGTCGCATGTGAATGTGCAACCATAACCTGGCATATCATACTCCTCCCATCGCTGCTACTACCTACATGACTCTTATGATTCTCCAATTGATTCCAATAGAAGTTCAAGATGTTAAGCAGACGTGAAGTGAGACAACACTATTAATTTTTTATGAAGCTGATCAGTGGTTGATAGGTGAAACTGATTATTAATCAAGCCATCAAGACCAAGTCCAAGATTGAGAAATTGATTGTAATTAATTGTGTTATTTGACTTTGAGTATCATATAATGTCATTAACAACAATTTATTTAAATTTGAAAAGAATATAAACTACCTACGTTTATTGCTGGATATGCACAACTATGAAGCAAGTTATCCTCCAGAGTAATTGTATCCAGACTGCGATCATTATTATATGTCGCCGAAGCAGTAGTAGTGGGTGTGGTGAGCTGTAAATGTTAACTTAAAAATCTTTGTTTCGGTTTCATAAAATGCTGAATTAATATTTTATTTTTGTTAAACGGTGATGCTTATTTTTAGTCTCTTTATAATATATTCCAAATGCGTAATAAAAATAAATAAATAACAATAATAATAATAATATGACAAATTTTTAACCAAAGTCAAATGACATAAAAAAAGAGTTTTGAACGTTGATATAGACAAAATATTTTGTATAAAAAAATTAAAATATACATTGATAATAAATAAATATAAATATATCTAGCTTTTAGATAATTTGTATTTAAATTTTGTTTCTTATTATACCTAAATAAGTTAACCCTCTCACAAAAATATATTTAAGGCTTCAACAATGAGCTTGTCAAATCTTGGAAAATGTTCGGTGTTTATGACCAAATTCGGATAATAATATGAATGTGAGAATAATAATATTTAAATATAAGGATACCTCTTCAGATGAAGTGTAATACATATTATTACAAAATTTAACCAAAATATTGATCAGAATATAGGCATTTAACCACACAAAAGACAAATGATTTTATTTTTTCTTTTTTCTTTAAATTAAAAATCACAACAGTTAACTCTTAATGTGCATATTATAGTGTACACCGTGTTAGTTTGTCCGTCAAAATCAATCAAGACCAATTTAATAATCGGATTCGTGCTGGTTCTGATTTTGACAGTGGGTGTGCAGATGGCTGATGAGACCAATTCTTGTTCCCCTATTTATTGATAATAAATAGCTTCAAGTATTATTGGAGCCTTTGTGTAAAAAGGAACGCTACAATGCGCGATTGCTTGCCAATTCTTCCCGTTTGTCTTGATTTATACCAAACGCTTTCGGTAAGGCTTTTAGGTTGACTTTAAAGCATATCGTCTGCCCCCACCCCCACGCAAACCAATTACATGCTCACACTTGCCATAAAAATTATTTTGAGCAAGCTGTCGTATATAGTATAAATAGTAGTATATATAAATTATTTTTAGAGTCTTTATTCATCAAATTATATTTGTTTACAACTGAATTCAAAAGTTCATTTAACAAAAAAAAAGAATGATAAAATGAATTCTATTATCATTAAATCAAAATTAACAAAACCGGAAATCCGAATATCGATTTAAATCCTTATAAAAAGATATATTATGAATACATTCTGACATATATTAGAGATAAGTATTATTCAAAAGTATATCTTATACTAAATAGTCAGTTGACAGCTTAAACGATGAGTTCGGGTGTTAAATATATATGCCATTAGAAAGAGCATTTTATGTGCTTGTTTTAACGACCGGTATGTAAAATAATATCATGCATTTATCTTATTCTCGGCACCGCCAATGGCATTTTTATGTCGCAAAATATAGACTTAAATTATTATTCAGGTAATATAAATGTAAATGTATATTTTTTAAATAAAATTATTCGCATCAAATATTTCCAAAAAAATGTTGCTTTATTTCAAGACTCTCATTTGAGGAGATCTTATTATGGCTTAGTGGACTCTCACAACAACCCAAAATAATTTTTTTGTAGCTTGGCAACCATAACGACTATAACAAACATAAATGTAGTCATAAACAACATGGCCACTTCCGAGAAAAAAGCTATGCATGTAAGCATTCATCGGTCAAAATGCTCGGAAGAAAAGGGATCGGCAATAAATCAAAGTAAGTAAGCAATAAATGTTTTGTAAATGCAAAGGATGGATGCCATTTTTTTCCTCCATGACCGCCATCTTGGTTGACACGATCAGTTAGTTCTGTCACTAAACTTATTTAGCTCGATTTTATTATTTCTAGTGAAGTGAAATGATTTTAAAATTTCATTTTTAACTCATGGAACTTCATTAAAACACTTCATTGGCAGTCATTGGTTACTATAATTTCAAAATTGTACTTAAGACACTTAAACTTAAGTATTAAATGTTTTCGAATTGTTTTTTCATGTATTCTCTTTGGTTTTAAAGGGTTTTTTAATTTTAAAAAACATATATTTTTAAAAAATTAGTCCTTTGATAAGTTTGTTTATAGTATATTGAGCTGATGTGTGACCAGAATTGTTTAATTTTTCTCAGCCTTAGACCAAAATCAATAAACATACGGTTAGAATAAGTTAAAAATAATAGATAATTAATTAAGATTCAGAGGCATCAGCTTACACTGGGGTGTAGGGACTGGGCTCTCTCGAGCGTTTAAGGTCCTGTCGTGATGTCCAAACACTGAAGGTCCATTTAATGTGGTCTGTGCCAGTTGTGGTATGAAGGTTAAAAAGTCATCCCCCCCTCCTTTTTTTTCTCTCAGAGCCCTCAGAACATACAGATAGTTCCTTGATGAGGTTAGAAGTTAATTACTGACCAAGGCAGCAGGGACACACATCACCATGAACTTGTGATAAACAAATCTGACCAAGAGTGATGGGGGACTTGGCATTAAGTAGGATTTTCAGTGTTGTGGTGTAAGCAGCCGGCCAGAGAAACCACGTAGGCAAAGCTTGGAGTCTCAACATAATAGGATTCCATTAACTTCAGAGAGCGACAGATGTCCAAGCCACTGATGGACAAGGGAACCAGAGGCATGGCTTGAGCACATGGTGTTGATGTCATGCCTTTTTTTAACTTGGGTTGAAGTAGATGATTTCGCAGCTGAGCTGGGGATCAAGGTTGTTCACGGAGCTGGAGCAGATCTGGTTCTTTTAAAATTTCTTACTGCTCTGAGCTCCAAAAATTATTAATAAAATAAGTGTAAAAACTAAAATGCTTTGGGCAGACAACTCACCGGTCGCCCAAGACTGAGATGGATCGATGATGTAGAGAAGGATTTACACCAGTTGGGGGTTCCCGCATGGAGGTGGAAAGTCGTGGATTATTCCGAATGGAAGGATGTGGTGGAGCAGGCCAGAGCCCTACATGGGCTGTAGCACCACTAATGTTGATGAAAATTCATAATATTCATGTTATATTTTTAAAAAAATTATGCCCTACCCTTCTACCTATTATGTTGCCGATATGTGCATTTCAAATGCACAGTTAATAAGATGGGTAATTGACAAAAATAAAGAAATTTAATTTCTTTAAAGCCTGGCAGCACCTCTCAATCACCACCCTCCCTTTTTTATTTTTTTGTGCTGGAAGTGGAGCTTGAGTTGGCAAAAAGTGTCCGCCGTGGACCTGGAAAAGGAGGTGGGGGTGGGGGGTCCATGAATTTGTGCCAATGTGTGATAGTGTCTCCAATTTGTTTTAACCATTTGTGTCGATGGAGAAATGTGGGAATGTGGAAATCGGCCATTGGAAATTTCACTCCAGAATAACTGGTAGAAATGAGAACCTATTTAAATGATTATAGCTATTTCTATAGTTGTATAATGACTTATTCAGCACATTAAAAGATATTCAAATTAATCGACATAACATCATCAAAACCCTACAATGACAAGGAAGAATAAAAAAAAAAAAATTCTTATCTTTATAGCTGATCATCAAACTCCATTATCAGCAAAAGAAATATTTATGACAGCCACTGAACATGGAGACGCAGAAACAGTTGTCAAAATGATAGAAAAATTGAATGTATCTCCAAATTTAACTGCTGTCAGAGAAGGATTGGAACGTAATGCATTATCGATTGCTGCAACATACGGACAAATCGATACTGTTGCTGAGCTTTTAAAGGTAGTGTATTAAAATTTCACTTACTGCACAAGAATACTTCCTGCCACAATGGTCTCATTAGTAATCTGCACAACCACAGCCAAGTTCAGAATTAGCAGATATATGATGATTTAGGTGGGCGTGGTCGATTTCAACTGACAAACTAAATATATTAAAATATTATGCAGAGGTTAAAAACGCAAGTTTTATTCATATTTCGAGCCTACCATTTTAATTTCAAATTTTATTCTCTAGATAAATGGTAAGCTTCCTATCTCAGTGACAGATTCAATATGACTTACAAGGTTGAAAGATTTATATTTATTTTTATATTATAGTCTTGATATATTAGGTTGTCTATATTGTTCTTCCTTTGCGTAAGAAGCAGGTAGCTTGGTAGTCCTATTTGTTCCTGGAAACTTAACCCACATCTACATAAGACACAAGTGTTTTGAGGTCCTATTTATATTGGAGGAAGTTCTGTTTTACCTTGCTATGTGCTTTCTGAGAGCATGCTACAACAGTGAGTCTATCTCCCGCTTCTTGTGCGATCCAAAAAAAGTGTTTCCCAAGAGTTCAGGGTACTGTTCATTGATTTAAGGGACACATTTAGGCCATCTTTGAAACTTTTTCTCTGCTTATCAGCTAAATGTTTCCCTCTGGATTAGGTCAGTATACGTTAGTTGTTTAGGAAGTCCATCTGCATTAGGTCATTATACATTAGTTGTTTGGGCAATCCATCTGGATTAGGTCAGTATACATAGTTGTTTAGGCAGTCTGCTGTCTTGTATTTCTGCACCATGTCCAGCCCATTTGGCTTGCCATTTTTGTAAGAATATTTGGATGCTGAGGAAGCCAGCATGTTGCAGGAATTCTGTATGCAGAGAAGATAAGATATGAGGTTTGGGTAGCAGTTAAAACCCATGCCGATGATTTTAGCTTTGCGGCCATGAGAAAGCTGCTCCTAGGCGACCATTTTGTCCCAGCTTTTGTCCCGACAGAAAGACTCCATGTGTGGTGGGGATGGGGGGGTGGTAACGCAGCACCAATCCACCAGATGGAAGCAAACCCACCCAGACCCTTAGGGAGAGTAGACTGCAAATGCTTTAAACTCAGCATTTTCTGGACGTATCCCAGGTCAGAGGGGAGGTTCGCGGGATGCCCCACTATGTCTGGTGGTGGGGAAACCTGGCATTTGGCCCATGTGATGGTGTGCTGGGGGGGGGGGGGGACATTAAGAACTCACGCTCGACAGCCCACCTGCGCCAAGTCCTATGTGACGTTGTTGATCCTAATAAAGGAAAATGGTTTTTTATTACAGTGTGCATAATCACTCTTGGCATATGTATAAAAGAGAAGCCCTGACAAGTCTTTGTGTCCAGTACACTCAGTGGAAAAACCAGACTTTTTGTTTCACAAGTGCATACATTCCGATAAGAACACTATACAGTGCAAGGATGGAAATTAAATTTTTTGTGTCATTCGAACATTAAGAAAAAGAAAGATGGCGTTATTTGAGAAATTGAAAGTGTTAATTAAACAAGTGTTTAGGTGGGTGAGATCAACAACCTTTGGATTTTTCAATTATAAAAAGAAATTGTGTTTTCCAGAATGCTGCAAAAGATCGGGTAAAGGAACAAAATCATTAAAACTTCATGAGTTTGTAAAGTTTTGTTAAATTATTGCATGTATAGAGAAACTTTGATTCTCTGCTTTACAGAGCATTGCAAACATTCAAAAAGTGATTCAGATATCCAGGATTGGGGTATGGGAGCAGAATTGAGGGAGCTAAAGGCTCCTGAATGAAAGGAGGGAAGTGCGTCCGTGGTTTTCTACAGGTTATTTCTAGTACCATTACATAAATATTATTACAAAGACAAACATTTTCAAACTAGAACAGTTAAACACAAGACATCTAAAGTATTTATCAAACGTAAAAAGCAGCTGTCATAAGCCCTGGAACTTCACTCAGTTAGGTACAATGTTGACTTTAAGAGTGATTATTTAGGTTATGTAACAGTTGGTGGATCACCCTGGTAAATTCTGATAGACTGGGGAACACATGAATTGATGAATTTTAAAATTTGAGGGAAAGAATTCACCCTGATCCACCTAATATGGTGAGTCCCCCTATGGAAATAGACAACCATTTCTTTAATTTTTGAGATTATCAACTGAAGAAAATTTTTGTCACACTGGTGGATAAAACTTGTAATTAAATTGCGGTAGAAAATGTTCCCTTTAGATATTAAGCCAAAGTTGGTGGTATCATCTAAAAATTCAATGATTGTAATGGTGTTGCTTGGGCTCTGGATATCATTGGTGTATCCTGTATACGGGACAGGGGAGAGAACACAGAAAGAAGTCTGTGTAAGCTTCACAAGAGGAGATGGGTTAGGTTTTGAATTTTGAGATTACAATTTAGTTAAGCTGTCAACGTATGAAGTTATTGAGCCTGATTATATGTACACTTTTATATCTTTCATACATCTTTCAACTATCTTTCAAATATCTTTCATAATGTGAAAGGAAAGGCTGTATATGAACTTATTTATTGAATCATATTGTTCTTTTCTTGTTTATGTCTTAGAATGGAGCGAATCCTACGCTGAGAAGTGCCAGGCAGAGAACTCCACTCCACGATGCATGTATTGGTGGCCATTTTGAGTGTGCCCAACTCTTAATGGATGCCATGTCAGCATCTGACGTAAACATCCCTGATAATTCTGGCCAGACGGCTGCACACATTGCTGCATTTCAAGGAGAGACAAAAATTCTCAAACAACTTATAGAAAAAGGTTTATTTTTCTAAAATTTTATCATTTAAAACTGACATATTTTAACACAAGAGGTAGTTAAATATTAATTTAAATTGGTAAATGAATTCTCTAAAATTATACAATCAAAATCAAATTATCACCTGCAAAAATAAACAACAACATATGATTAACATCAATTTAAATTGGCTTGATTCTTTTAATAATTTTCTCTTGTTTTATCAAGACTAAAATAAAAACTCAATTAATTTTTTAAATTAAAGAGTTTTAAATATTCTTTACTTAAACAATACAAAATCGTATGTTAGTCTTAGTCTAGTTTTGTCTATTGATTCATATGTGCAATGAGTTGTTGTCCTATTTGGTGCATTACATTTTAAGAGAAGATCTAGATTTTAAAAAAATAATAAATTAGGAATAATTAAAGGAAATAAAAACTGAAATAATAAATGCGTTGGCACGGAAAATGTAAAGATAGTTTTCAACATTGAATTTTAAATATATCAATATATTGCATTACACTCATTGCATGATTTTATTAAATGAAGGTGCAGACCTATCCAAAGCAGATCACAAAGGGAGACAAACAGCTCATTTGGCAGCCAGCAGGAATCAAGTGAATGCATTGAGAATATTATTTGATAGTGGCATTGATCTAGACCATCAGTGTTCAGCAGGAAAAACATTGCTGCACCATGCCGCAGAGCACGGGGGTAAGCTGAAATGTTACACTCTTTCAGTCTGATGAAGTCTTTAAAATGTTATCCAGAAATCAATATGTTTTTTCTGTGTCCCACTTATTGGGGCCATCAAGCAGTTGGTGAAAACGGGGATGAAAGTAGAAATTTTGTTAATAATCATCTTAAGAGCAAGCACTTCCTATAAAAACTTATCCAAGAACTGTTTTTCAGACAGTGCTGTCTGAAGTTTCACCCCCACCCCGCTTTCTTATCCAGCAGCTGATAACTGTTGAGTTTCAAAAGATCTATTCAAAGCAGACTAGATTTTTAAACATGTGTCCACACAGTTATTATTAGAAAATACACTGAGACACATATCTACATAGTAATTATCAGAGAATACTTCTAAAAAACATTAATGACTGGCCATAGTTTTAAAAAAAATATATATGTATGAAGAGCTTATTTCCAAAACAGGGTATCCACCATTTTCGAAAAAAATGAAAAAACTTTACCTTATTGTAGAGCAAACCAGGTTCGTGAGGACATGTTAAATTTACAAAAAACATTATATATATATATATAATATATATATTATATATTATATTTAATTCTTGTATAAAAATTATTTAATTTTCTGAACGTGGATTGTAATTTTTTTGTAAAAGTTGAATAATCTCAAAACTTAAAAAATGGATTTACAGCATTTTGAAAATCAGCTCTTCATATTTATATATTTTCAGGTTTAGACACAGTGAAGTTTCTTGTAGAAAGGGATTGTGATCTGACGTTATGTGACCACTCATCCAATCTGGCAGCTCATGTTGCAGCCAGGCATGATAATTTGAACTGTCTCAAGTTTCTAGTGAAGCAAGGCACGTTCATTGACACCCCACAGACCAATGGAAAGGCCTGCTCTCATATAGTAGGTGCTGTATTTATATCAGTAACAATTTGTAAAGCTTTTCATAATTGTCATACTGCTGCTCATGGTGATCTCTGTCTGAATCTCACTACTCTTGATAAAGATATTGAAAATTGAAGTCCACAAGTAGAGAAATGATATGATCATTATAAGGGTTGAATTATCTTTATATGATAATACTAAACATCATTTTCTTTGTAATTTTATGGCTGTCAATCTTTTTTTTTTTGAATCTAAAAGCTTTATAAGTTCTTGAAAAAAAAGGAGTGGGGGATGGGGGGACAAGTCCATAAAAGCTCTTGTGCATTATCTTAAAACTTAAACTTGCAGACCACATTTCAACAGCTACTCAGATGATCAAAATATTATATATGTAATACAAAATGCAATAATCTAATGAAATTATCTTCCTAGGAGTAATAGTAAGATCAGTGAACAATTTTTATCTAAAAGACTATGAAATAAATATTCTGAAATAAAATTTACATAAACACTATTTTGCCTATAAATTTAAAAAAAATTAATATATTTTTTTTTTTAAATGCAGTTTAACATCCTGCTCAAATGTATCACTATCCTCACAAATTCATCCTTATGCTCACAAATATATCCTTATGCTCATAAATTTATCCCTATGCTCACAAATTGATCCCTATGCTCACAAATTTATCCCAATGCTCACTGGCTATTCTTTATTAAATGTTCCTTAACCTGGCCTAAATTATTTAGGTTTGGCATTTAAACAAAAGTTACCAAGTTGTCTTTTCTTTGTCCAAGGCTGCAATCAATGGGTCAGTTCATGCCCTCCACTGGCTGCTGGAGAGTGGGGCCAATGTTAATCTGCCAGATGGTGAGTAATCAAGACTTAGCTATGTCATTAAAAATGGGCTCATAATTGCTGTTCATGAGATTATCAAAAGAGTTATCCCAGATAGGTTGTGTCTAGATTCACCAACTCTAATTCTGTGATAGAGGAAATGGTAAGTACTTTTAATAACTGAAACTTTTATTGTTCTTTACAAAATTTGTATTTAATGTAAATAAAAAAAATCTCTTAAATAGATAAGACTCATTAAAATTGAGGAAGCATAATATTTTTTTTTTATTTTCCATGAAACTCTTTACAATTTAATTTAAGAAGTGACCTTGGCCTTGATGTATATGTTACCGGCAATGTGTGAAATGCAGGCATTTTATAGAATGCCTAGGCATTATATAGAATGCCTGGCGGTTTTAGGCAAAGTATGAAATATTTTATTTTTGTGATTAAGTTACATACTTTGCCTAGGCATTTTATACATTGCCTAGGTATTATATATAATGACAAATATACTTCAGGCAAAGTTTAAAAAGAGCATAAAGAAATTTTTTTTAATTGGAAAAACACATTTGAATACGAAAGATAACAATAAAACTGGAAAGCAAAGGTGTCATCGAGCTACTTGTTGCAGCAAGTAAGGCTGGAGTGGCATTTTGAATTGCACTTAATTTTCTTTTTCAAACAAAGACACTTCATGTTTTGGCACCTGGTCTTGCACATACACCTCACGTAGCCTTGACCGCTTCCTGTTGACTGAGAGATAGCAGCAGATCGGAGAGGTATTTCATGGGCCGGGACGTCTTCAACTCTCAATAAATCTTTTGGACATACAGTGAACTGTGATCTCGAATACAATTGTTTCAAGATTCCTTGTGCAGTTCCAAGTCGGTAAAAGCCGTCTTCTGTCTCTGTCATAACAACTGCCAACAGATTGCGCGAGTCACACCGTCCCTTGTCAACGTCAGGAATAGGAACTCGCACAGTGGCTCCTAAAGGTGCAGGCGGGAACTTTTTGTCAGAGTTTATTTTCATTTTTTTGGCCTGGATTTCAAGGTTTCATTTAGATTCTTTTCTAGCCTCTATAGCTCTCTTCATCTTGAAACACAAGCTGCACAAAATACCAACACTATAACCTTCTATTTCCTCGTCTCCATCGTCTTTAGCAGCATGTCCACAGATCACATGAACATTACGGTGACAGTTTCGGCATGTATGGGCCCCGCTGCTTTCTTTTAAGCAGACACAACAAACACCAGAAGTGGAAGGCTCTTTGGTAACCATGACGTCACAATCAGTTTGGATTCCTCCATTACTGGTTGCATTCTCTTCAGTATTCTGTATAGCAGGCTCTGTATCTTGCATCTGACGATTTGCTTTTTCCTGCTGTGTTGTTTTTACGCTTTCTATTATTTTTTCGAGTTCTTCCTCAGTCTGTATGTCTTGCAAAACGTCCAGGGGTATGGAAGACGTTGCAAGGCCCACTTTAGCTTTGCAGCCAAACAGAGCTTCTTCTTCTTCTTCTATATCTTAAGGGCCCACGATCAATTTATTGATCATTTTGGCTCCTATGCATGTAGATGGGATTTGCAATGTTTCTGTTACTGGTGGTGATGAGGAAATTATGCACTAGGGGTTTGAAGGCTTGAGGCAATAGACACAAATGTGTCTAGTGTTGTCGCCTCAACTGTTCCTTTTGAAAGATGGTTCCAGTCCCTGATTGTCTTGGGCAAGAATGAGCAGCTCCTATACTGGCTTCTTGCTGGTATGAGCCTGAATTGCCTGTCATGGCCTCGTCGCTGTCTATGGGGGAGAGGGACGAGTTTCTGTTTAATACCGGAACAGTGGACCAGCCCATTATTTATCTTGTACATCATGGAGAGCCTGGATTGTCGTCGTCGTTTCTCCAATGGTGACCAGCCTAGTGTTTCTAGCATGCTGCCAACACTAGAGGTATTCCTGTAGCGGTTTAGGACAAAGCGTGCTGCTCGTCGCTGGACCGCCTCCAACCTGTCAATGCTCTTCTGGGTAAATGGGTCCCAGACTGAAGATGCATAATCTAAAATCGGACGGATAAAGGCTTTATATGCTCTTTCTTTCACACAGGAGTTGCCAATCTTTAGATTTCGCCTTAAGAACCCCAAGGCTTGGTTTGCTTGGTTACATACATTGTTAATATGCTCGTCCCAGCGGACCTCTCTTTGAATGGTAACACCCAGGTACTTTACGGAGGAAACTTGCTCAAGAATATGGCCGTGCAGTTTGTATTGGTAGTGTAGAGGAGTACAACTTCTAGAGATTGATAGTGTCTGGCACTTGGCAGGATGAAATTCCATGTCCCAGCTCATCTCCCACTCAGCTAACAGATTGAGATCCTGTTGTAGCTGGTCCTGGTCAGATCTGGCGCTTCATAAGGCGTTCTCTTGATCCCAGAATGAAAGGCCCTGTTCTCCATAAGTTGGATGAATCGTAATCCTTCAGCCCAGTAGTCAGTTTTTTCATCTTGCATCGAAGCACATAGCATGTTTTCGATGTCTTGATTAGCTCTTTCGATACTGCCCTGGCTTTGTGAGTGGCGCGGTTTACCATGGACGATCTTCAACTTGGGCCAGTAATCCTTTAGGCTGTTAACCACATTGTTGGTATATTCCCGGCCATTATCGGACTGTAGAATTGTTGGAGCGCCAAGCAACGTAAATATTTCCACTAATATGTAGGCTACCTCTTCCGCCCTCTTGGATGTTAAAGCCCTCAGAACCACAAACTTTGTGAGATGATCTTGGTACACCATTATAAATTTATATTCCCGGTCAGGATGGGATTGAAAATCGATAAGATCGACCTGACCACGGGAGTTGAATTCAGAAAAAATCATAGGCTTCACCACAACACCCTTTGTGACACATTTTTGTTTCTTCTGGCACGGCTCACAAAGGTGGAGGTAAAGTTCAATATCATTACATGTAATGTTCTTATACTTGTGTGAAAGTTCTTTTAACATTCTGTCCCTTCCTCCATGTCCCACTGCCAAATGAGCCTCGTGAAGTACGCCAAATAATTCAGAATCCGTGACATAGAACTGAATAGCGCTGTCGCCTTCTTTAACAGGATAGATCAACTTACTTTTGTTCGCTACCGCCATTACATCATAGCGTTTCAGGAGCCAATAGTCTCGTGGTTTCTTCTGATTTGTCATCCGAGACATTTTCACATCATCAACTAATTTTTGGTAACTAGTTTCCGTTAGAGAAACGCAGTTTTTAGCAGTATTGGCTCGCAATTGAGAAAGTTCATCGTAGAACCGCCGTTGCATGCAAACATACCGTGATTCCTGATCTGAAGCTACAATCTGATACTCCAACATCTCGGCAGCCATCTTGAAACAATAGGGGTAGCGTCTTTGGCGGGAGTACGAAGCACGCGTGTCGCGATCGCCACGGCACCACCAAGCAAAGAATCAAACATGAATGGCGGGGTATTCTATACATTGCAGGGTCGCTATTAGGCATTATATAGAATGCCTAGGAAATGTGTGAAATAAAAACCATTTCATACTTTGCCTACAATTTTCAGGCATTCTATAGAATACCTAGGCATTCTATAAAATGCCGGATTTCACACATTGCCGGTAACATATATAACAACGGACATACTAAAAAGTAAATGGTATAATAATAGATTGAAAATCACTTGGCTTCCATTAGAATTCAAACAGGTGTCAAATCTGAAATCAGAGAATGTCTTTGTGAAGTCAGTAATGATGTAAAAATGCCAAGGAAGGCCGTATCCACATTCTTTTTCATCTATCTTTTCTAACATTACTAAATGGCCCCTATCTTGGTAATTTCATGGAGATAAAGAAAATGTCATAGAGTAAGGGGAAGTGTTTACATGGAGATAAAGTAAATGTAATAAAGTAAGGGGAAGTGTTTACATGGAGATAAAGTAAATGTAATAAAGTAAGGGGAAGTGTTTACATGGAGATAAAGTAAATGTAATAAAGTAAGGGGCAGTGTTTACATGGAGATAAAGTAAATGTAATAAAGTAAGGGAAAGTTTTTGCTCTTCTAAGAACTTTAAACGTATGAACCTTAAAAGAATTTCATATAAAGATATTACTTATGAGTGCCTCCATTTTTCATCTAACATTTTGGGGGTGTTGGGTAAGTGTTCAGAATCTCAACTCAATAGAGAAAAACAATGGCCTCAGGTTTGACAGGATGAGGTTTTTTATTGAAGTCGTGACTTGAGTCTCTGTTTGCAGGTGATGGCAATACCCCGGCCCACCATGCTGCGCTTGGCGGGAGAGCTGACTGCTTCAACTGTTGCATGCATCATCACGCCAACCTGGACGCAGCCAATGGCAAAGGGGACACACCGATGGATGCAGCAAAAAAATCTGGCCATCCTTTGCTGATGCACAAAGCTGGTAAAAAGCCTTTTCCTCTTAGATTTAAAAATGTTTTACTTGAATAGCACACAATATTTACAGATTTGCTAACTTATAAGGAATATAAATTTCTAAATTTTTATGATTAGAAGCTCACCCTAAGACTAACGCTAAGATTAAGACTAGCACTGACCCTAAGAGTAACCCTAACACCAGCCCTAAAACTGACCCTAAGAGTAACCCTAACACCAGCCCTAAAACTAACCCTAAGACTAAAGCTAAGATTAAGCCTAGCACTGACCCTAAGAGTAACCCTAACACCAGCCCTAAAACTAACCTTAAGACTAACGCTAAGATTAAGACTAGCACTGACCCTAAGAGTAACCCTAACACTAGCCCTAAAACTAACCCTAAGACCAAGGCTAAGATTAAGACTAGCACTGACCCTAAGAGTAATCCGAAAACTAGCCCTAAAACTGACCCTAAGACTAACACTAAGATTAAGACTAGCACTGACCCTAAGAGTAACCCTAACACCAGCCCTAAAACTAACCCTAAGACTTACGCTAAGATTAAGACTAGCAGTGACCCTAAGAGTAACCCTAACATCAGCCCTAAAACTAACCCTTAGACTAATGCTAACATTAAGACTAGCACTGACCCTAAGAGTAACCCTAACACCAGCCCTAAACTGACCCTAAGAGTAACCTTAACACCAGCCCTAAAACTAACCCTAAGACCAAGGCTAAGATTAAGACTAGCACTGACCCTAAGAGTAACCCTAACTCTAGCCCTAAAACTGACCCTAACACTAACATTAAGATTTAGACTAGCACTGACCCTAAGAGTAACCCTAACACCAGCCCTAAAACTAACCCTAAGACTAACGCTAAGATTAAGACTAGCACTGACCCTAAGAGTAACCCTAACACCAGCCCTAAAACTAACCCTAAGACTTACGCTAAGATTAAGACTAGCAGTGACCCTAAGAGTAACCCTAACATCAGCCCTAAAACTAACCCTTAGACTAATGCTAACATTAAGACTAGCACTGACCCTAAGAGTAACCCTAACACCAGCCCTAAAACTAACCCTAAGACTAACCATAACACTAACCATAACCCTTACAAGCAGAACAGTTTCACACAGCTGCCCTTTCATTCTTGACACCAAAAAGATGTCATGTAAAAAATCTAAAGAAATTTTTAAAAGCAGAAGCCTGAAGATCTTAATTTGTTACTATTTTTTAAAAGTGGATGTAAAATACTGGATAATGGAAATTATATAAAAAGTCAGAAGTTATAATATGTTAAACATTATTGTGTATTTCATGGTTGATTCCTGCCCCCCCCTCCCCCACAAAATCCCTTGTCCTTTTTCTCTTTGATGCCATTTTGTTTCTTCACCCCCCCCCCTCCCCTACTGATTAATTGAAATAAATGTTTTGTCTGTTTAGCAACCAATGAAGTTATGTGTCCAGAGTGCTGCATCAAGTTGGAGAAAGAAGACTACGATTATAAGCACCCCCTGGCCCCCGTCGTAAGGTCGATGAGTGCAGCCAAGCAGAGGGCATTCCGTTCACCCATGACACCAAAAAAGTCAGTAAAGAACACATTTTATTTTGTTAGATTCAACATAGAAACCAGAGCTGGTAAAGAAAAAATATAACAAGAATCAACATCTTTTTTATAGGTTTGTCTTTTTTATTTTGGATGTACAGTGCAGTGCTATGTAAATAAGCACTGGTTGAATCCTATGGTGGGAAAATCTTTGCTACTTGATTCCATTACACCAAAGTGTCACTCTGATGCTGTTTATCTGGGCTTTGAGATAAACATTGGGAACTGGTTTTTACTCAGAAGCAAAACAACATGATCTGCAGGTCTCTTACTGAAAATATCTCAAAAAGGAGAAAAAAAGACCAAATTATATAAAAGTTAATTTTGAAATGTTGAAATAAAATTAGATATAGAAATACAAAAAGGAAAGGAAAAAAATTGCATCAACCGCTCTCATTGGATGTTTACATTATGTCAGCTCTACTCAGTGCTTGTGTCAAGCGCTATAATTGGTTCATTGGTTGTTTACATATTTTAGGCTCCCGAGAAGCTTCTAAAATGTTTAGAGCAATTTTTAAGTTAAGATAAGTTAAGATACTTTTATTGATCCAAAATATTGGAAATTGTTTTTTTACATTCATTTTTTTAAGGCTTAAAACATCCTTGTTTTAGGGTGGGTCATTATTGCATAAAATTACTCTGTAGCAAGACTTTCACAGAATCATTGTGCAGTATGAATATCTGTTGAGTTCTTGAGTGCAAGTTGTAATTTTGAACAGAGTCGTGGCTTTTTCTTTGAATGGATTTCTTGTTGGTTTTTTTTTTCCAAATCATGGACACTCTTTAAGTCTGTAGCCATTCATGGACACTCTTTAAGTCTGTAGCCAATCATGGACACTCTTTAAGTCTGTAGCCAATCATGGACACTCTTTAAGTCTGTAGCCAATCATGGACACTCTTTAAGTCTGTAGCCAATCATGGACACTCTTTAAGTCTGTAGCCAATCATGGACACTCTTTAAGTCTGTAGCCAATCATGGACACTCTTTAAGTCTGTAGCCAATCATGGACACTCTTTAAGTCTGTAGCCAATCATGGACACTCTTTAAGTCTGTAGCCAATCATGGACACTCTTTAAGTCTGTAGCCAATCATGGACACTCTTTAAGTCTGTAGCCAATCATGGACACTCTTTAAGTCTGTAGCCAATCATGGACACTCTTTAAGTCTGTAGCCAATTTGTCTTTGTATGGTTGTCATATGCCAGAAAAGATAAATTGAAATGATACAAAAATGAATGGTATAATGCATGATCAGTGAAAATTCTTTCAACTATTTGGCACAGCCCCAATTTTCACTATTTGCGAAAAACTGTATTTCTTTTTTCTTTTTAATGTATTTTAATTTTTTTATTAAATTAATGTAATAATAATAACACCAAACAAAAAAAATTTAAAATATTCATCCACTTTCTTGCAGGAGGCCGCAATCACAAAAACGAATGGTCAAATCTGATTGGAGGATCTCACAAGTTCCTAGAAACGATGAGAAAACATTCCTCACTCAAAGAGATATCCCAGCAAAATACTTTGGGGAGTACCTAGACCCCAACAGTACCTTCAAATTGAAGCTGAAATGAATCAGATTATGCCTTTAAGGGCTATGATAAAATATTCTGTGATATGCTAATCAACATTCTGTCATAGACCTTTTCAGTGACATGATAATTTGTTCCATCACAGACCTTTTAGTTCAGCCTCCTCCTAATTGCCAAACATTCCATGCTATTTTATTGTGATACCCTAAATAGGCCTACATAACAATGATAGACAGCATGTAGTTCCTGGGATGGATTCAACTCCTAAATAAGAGCTCATCAAAATAATTCAAACAACCAAAGCAGAATTTACAAGTGGTAAAAGCTAAAACTAACAACAATCCATGCAGACATCAGCCTTGTGATCCACACAGACATCAGCCTTGTGATCCACACAGACATCAGCCTTGTGATCCACACACACAGACAGATGTCTGCTCCACAAAGACTCTGCCGTCTGATCCACACAGACTCGGCCATCTGGTCCACACAGACTCGGCCATCTGAATAACCATTCAAAATAATTGAGAAACCATTGCTTGAAGTTGCAGACTTAAACAAGGGCCCACAATCCCTGAAAATATTGGTGCCATCAAGCTCATTGCTTTGCTTTTCTTTGTTCAGTTTTTTAGAAGAAGAAATAATGAATACAGTACATGCCCACTTAAAAGTACAAGTAAATTTATCAAGTTTTTTTTTTTTTCTTTTAAATGTCTTTATTTATGTACAGTGTGGATGAAATAAAATATTTTAAACAGAGATTTTGTTTTGTAATTTGAAAATAAATTGCTATGCACTTTAAAAAAAATTTGATGTGTTTCATTATATTCATAGGTAAAAGATGTTATTGTATTATATATAATCATATATCATATTTATATATATATCATATATATATATATTTATATATATAAAGGTGAAAATTTGTTTGTGGTTTTGTTTTTTCCAGATACGTTATTACATGGATTACATAGACTTAGACAACACTATAGGTTCTTTGCGAATTGATGGTCAATATAGTCATAGTCAATATTGAAATAATCAGGCTTGTGACAATGGTTGACCTCATAATTGACACAAAGAAGACTGAAGTGATGTATCAGCCAGCTCCCAGTAAGCCCTATGTTGAACCCAACTTCATCATCAGCGGACAGCGTCTTAACGCGGTGGATAAATTTACTTACTTAGTTGAAGAGAAACGAAGATCAAGGTCTATAACGCAGCAGTCCTCACAACATTGCTCTACAGATGTGAAACATGGACAGTCTACCAGCATCTCGCCAAGAAACTGAACCTATTTCCTACAACCTGGCTCAGGAAACTCCTCAGCATCAGGTGGCAAGACAAAGTAAAAAGCGTTACAAATACTGAAAGCGGCACTAAAGGCTTTCTGCATCAACCCTACTGAATGGGTGCAGACAGCCCACCCATCCCTGTGGCGCTACAGCCCATGTAGGGCTTTGGTCTGCCTCACCTCTTCCATCCATCTCTGTGGCGCTACATCCCATGTAGGGCTTTGGTCTGCCTCACTACTTTCTTCCACTAAGACCTAACTAATGCTTTTCTTTTCCATAATTGGATTCCTAGCAGCTGTACATTTTTTCCACATCATCCATCCATCCATCTAAGCCTAGGTCTGCTTTTGAGCAGTTTTCGTCTGGGATTTTGGTGGTGTACTCTCTTCACTCCTCTGTCATTTGGCATTCTTTCTTTCTAAGTGTCCTGCCAAGCGTAGACTACCCTTTTTAATTCTGCTACTAGCGTGGGATCCTGTTATAGACTATACTATTCTTGGTTGGCTCGAATTCTCCATCCATAGTCATACTTTTTTGGTCCATATTATTTTCCAGAGACCTTTTCTCTCCCATGTGCTTCCTGACGTTGTTGTTGGGGTCCAAGTTTCACTTGCCTTTATTGAATTAGAAGACACATCACTACAAGCAGGGCTGAAAGTTAACTAAAAAACATGACTATGATATGAGAAGAACAGACAGATGCAACCATTAAAATTTGAAACCGAAACCAGAATTTTGAAAAAGTAAATCCTAGGATCTTTATTAAATGAAACAAATCAATTACTAACATAAATAAAAGAAAGAACATCGGTTGGAAACAGGGCATAATTCAGTAGTCAGAAAATACTCAAAAGTAAAAATATTACAAGCAAATTTTTAAAAATACTGTTTACAAAACTGTATTCAGACCAGTTTTAACATATGCAAGTAAATTTAATCATAATTGGTCTTTAAAATGTAAGCTATTTACTTACATAATTATTGATGGCTGTATTGTAGCACACAAAAATAAACGAACTATCTTTTATACAAGAAAAGATCAAGCTTCCAGCTGGAACAATTAACTCCAGTTAAGTAATTAGTTGCTTAAAATGTATCCTTGTTCTAGCTTTCTATTTCCCTTCTTTTATATTTGGGTTTTAAATTTTAACATTCTCGGAAAAGTGTTCACATTTGAACACTGGATGATGGCAGTGGATACAAAAATTATTATGAGGTCAGAGACTGCTAGTATAATTGAGGCATTGGCATGTCATTTTACCTCATATTATATTTTCAATATGAAATGGAAGCCTTTGTTGTTCATTCAGAGGTATGTGATTGCATTAAAACAAATTCTGTGACAGGTCTTGACTATCAATGTTTAATTAAACAAAACACTATACATTTTCATTAACATAGATCAGGCCTGCACAACATACGGCCCACCAGCACGAGCTTTGCGGCCCGAGTAGTAACGAAATATTCTTTATTATTATTATTTTCTTAATAGCTTTCGTCCCTGTCCTATTATCTTTCAGGATGCATAAGTTTTACCATAAAGAAAGTATTACTGCGCGTCTTACATTTTGAGTTGTGCAGGCTTTGTAAAGCATTTAAATTGAAAAGACTAATATGAATGTATTTTAAGCTCATAATTTTTACTAAATATTTAATGAGATAAGTTGTTGACTCTTAATTAAATAATTTTTATCATAAAATGTAAAATTATTTAATTTTAATTTTTATAAATAATTTTTTTTCTAATCATAGATGAAAAAAGTTTACACACTTTGCCTTGCATATCATTTATGTTATTACAAAAGTAATAATGGTATCATATTATTAGACTCTTAATATAATACAGTCAACAGTTGTTTATTCCAAATTATAAATAACGAGGGCAGCTGTTGTGGTATAAATTCTACGCTGACGAAAGAAGGGAGACAATTTCCGAAAAAAAGAGATGTGAGAAACACAAACATTGACTTTGAATGGGGGCGGCAGTTGAAAATACTTCTTGAGTTGCGTGTCCTTGGCCGCTACCATTTTAAACCAGTGCCCTGTTTTGGACCTGCCCAGAGCATTACAGACTAGCATGATTCATATTTTGTTTAGCTGTCCAGCTAATAGGCCTACAACATTTTTTTTTTCAAAATATACGTATGTTTGATAGTAAGAAATAGCCACCATGTCACTGTGTTAGGCATTTCAAGACAACTTCTCGTAAGAAATAGCCCCCATGTTTCTGTGTTAGGCATTTCAAGACAACTTCTCGTAAGAAATAGCCACCATGTCACTGTGTTAGGCATTTCAAGACAACTTCTCGTAAGAAATAGCCACCATGTCACTGTGTTAGGCATTTCGCTTTAAGTTTAAAAATACAAGTGTTTTAGTATATGGTTATTTTAAAGCTATTTTGAAAAGAAATTACATCTTTCATTTTTTGTTAATGTATTGATACTGGTTTTCTTAATTTACTCTTATGACCCGTGACTTATCTCCCTTAATTCTTTCACGTCCTATTGTTGTAAAAAAATTAATGGAGTGTGTTGTAACATGTTTTCTTTTAGTATTCATCTGAACCGTTTGTATTTTTAGTTTCCTCATTAAATTAGGACAATAATGATCATTCTAAATTGTCTTCCTTTACAAAATAGTTGTATATTAAAATGTATTTACAATGGCTTAAGTTTAGTTAAATTTTACTTACATCTCTATGACGCAAAGAAAATGGATATTTAAAAAAAAAAAAAAAAAGAACTATGTTTTTAAAGTATAAGTGTGGATTTCCAAATGGATATCTGTATTAAATTTACAAAATAGTTTTATATTAAAATGTATTTACAATTGCTTAAGTTTAGTTAAATTTTACTTACATCTCTATGAAGCAAAGAAAATGGATATTTAAAAAAAAAAAAAAAAAAGAACTATGTTTTTAAAGTATAAGTGTGGATTTCCAAATGGATATCTGTATTAATGCTTAAAGTCATATTTTTCATCATATTATTAATGTAACAGTCACAACCAAAGAGTGATTTTTATTTTATTGCCAAGTGTTCAAAATTTAATTAGCCGTCACCATTTTGATTAATTTTAATGCTTCACAATAATGTTTCTTGCTATGTTATAAAAAATACTTTAAAATGACCAAGCTAGGTCGACATCAGGCTTTATGGAAACGGAAACGCATCGCCGCTATTCGGACCCGGGTCCCTTGAGACTCAATGCTATTCGGATGTCATTTGTGGTAGTTTATTTTAGTTGAACTGAAGAATTAAGTTTACAAACATATAGTCCATTCAATTATCTTTCATTTGATACCAAATTTTGTCTTACAACCTAACAATAATATATATATTTTTTTAAAAATTTTAATCCCAACCTCTAGCTTCTCGGACCCGGGTCCGAATAGCCACTTCGTTCTACAATATAATCTCTGAGCAACCGTTTCTCTGGAGACAACAGTCCCCAGTTCCAGCTGTTCAGGCGTCAGCCTGCTATCATGACATGTTTTAATCATGCCCAGTTGAAGAAGAGCGTTGATATTACTATTTTGAAATCAAGTGACAACTTTGAGCTGGTAGCCATGAACGGGTCTGATTTTTTGGAGCATGCAGCAACAATTACAAGATATATTAAAAATTACTTGCAGCTTATCGACTTGCTGCCAAGCACAGACTTTTTCCCCCATCTATTCGCCGAGCTATTCTTATCGCGCTTACTTTGTCAAAATCAGCACGAGCAGCATTCCTTTGGTACCCTAAGACGCAGTCAAAACTTGGCTTCGTTCGACAATGACTGAAAAAAATCTTTCATGGTTTTATTAGCTTAGTGTACATTTTTTTTTTTTTAAACTGTGAACTAAGGCAGAGTTTATGCAGAAAGTAACTGAAATATTTTGAAAGGAAAAACGCAGACTTCAAGACCTTTTCAAAGTTGAAATTAAAGAATATAAAAAAAAATGTGGAAGTCTGTTAGTTGTATATTTTATGTTATAAGCTGACTAATTTATGGTAAGAAATGAATTTTTTTTTTTTTTTTTAAGTCTTTTGCATTTTTGTGTAAAATTTTTAAATTAAAAATGTAGGTTACTATTAATACACAAAACTGAAATATTTTGAAAGGAAAAACGCAGACTTCAAGACCTTTTCAAAGTTGAAATTAAAGAATATAAAAAAAATGTGGAAGTCTGTTAGTTGTATATTTTATGTTATAAGCTGACTAATTTATGGTAAGAAATGAATTTTTTTTTTTTTTTTTAAGACTGTTGCATGTTAGTGTAAAAATTCTAAATTAAAAATGTAGGTTACTATTAATACACAAGCCCACACTCTTTAGCTCTCATTTATCATAATTTATGTTTATTTTAGGAAAAAGAATGTCCGAAGTTTGTTAACCCCCACCCCCACAATCTCTGTAAAAAAAATTTCTGCCGGTGTCCTTGGCAAGGACTTGTCAAATGGAGTTCACTGCGCTGTATTACTCTAAGCTCATTAGCTGTTGTACACAGGTTTTAACTGCGCTGGAT